TCATCACCTCCCTGGCCCAGCTAGCAGCTCCCTCCCAGCTGGCTTTTATTAGCCAAGAGGGAGGAAGTTCCAGTAAGGATGCGGCCATGTGAATCTGTCCAGGCAGCCTGTAGCCAGCATGGTGTAATGGTGAAGAGCGCGGCCCTGGGACTCAGGCCGTCTCGGCGCTCGTGGAGCTGAAAGGGTGACTTTGGGCCGGTCACAGACTCTCAACCCAGCCTACCTCACAGGGTTGTTGTTGTGGGGATAAGACTGAGAGCAGCAGGAGGAGAATAATGTGAGCTACTTTGAGTTCTTCAAAAAAGAAAGAGGCGGGATACACCTCTGATAAAAAGAAAGAAAGCAAATAACTAGAGAAAGCAAATAGACCAGAACTGTTGATCTTTGATCGTAACAAAATACGGTGGTCACAACAACGAGGCAAGCACTCTGTTCCCTTCTGAGTGTCTCTGCAGCTGGAGGGATGTCGGCCCAGACATCTGCTGCGTTCTCCGATGCCTGTGCTAAGGGGTGCAGGTGCCCTGCTTGCAGCTGGACCTATTTCACAGTGAGGACCGCGGACACAAACCAGAAGGGACATAAGGATGTCCATAGGAAATGGAACCAGATTATGGTTTCAGAAAGCTACCACAATGGAGAAGATCAAGCGTTCAGGGAAGCCGTAATCGTAGAGACTAAGCTAGCGGAAGACGCATCGCACCAGCACAGGGTTCACCGCAAACTACAGAGCAGAATGTCCGATGCAGGGGAAACGGGGTGTGGGGCCCCCACCTTGGCCAGCGGGGCTGAGCGAGACACTGTCCAGGGTCATAGTGTTTGCTCCTGACCCGCAGCCCCAGCCTGGCCTCCGACGGCTGCTCTGAGGCACTGCCACGGAAGCAGGACGCCTCTTCGGTCCCCGGGAGCAGCGCCTGATCCAACGAGCAAGCCCCGCTGCGTGCCGCCCGCCTCCAGCACAGCCCCCTCACACATGGCGCTGCAGCGCCACGGCCACCCGCCCTCCTGTCCGGCGTTTTTGGTTTGCTCGTCCTCGCTCCACGCGTGGCGCTGGCGAGTGCTCAGGCAGGTCGAGCGATCGCTGCAGGAGCACGCCGGGCATGGCGGATCGCCGACGCTGCCTGGGAACCACTTGCCCGACCACCGGCCGGGGACACCTTGCACGTCGCTCCACGCCCGTGCAGGAGGGCAGGTCGGGGGGCAGCCCGTCCCGAAGGAGTGCAGGGGCCACCCTTAGAGCCAACGCGTGTGCAAGGGCTGCTTGACTCTCAGCAAACCCCTTTCCTGGGGTCTGACCAGCACAACCCCCTCGGTTGGCGCTGGGGGTGCAAAACCGCCCCCTGCTGCGCCAGAGGGTCCGCGAGTCACAGCAGGCTGGTCTGGCCATGCCAAGCAGCCCCCTGGCTTGAGTGAGCTCCCCGTCGTGGGAGCCGTCCGCCGGCCACCCTGCCCTGCTGGCCTGCACGGATTTCAGGCTCATTAGTTTGCCCTCTGCTTGGTTGGCAAACACGGATGGCCTGAGTTTTGCTGCAGCTCAGCAGCTGTCAGGGTACTTAAACTCTTATGTGATCACATTATCTACTGATTTGGAAGCCACACCAATGCAGTGACAGATATTTATTTTCCTGATCCATCAACGTTTTTGTACTGTGATCCCAAGCTGTACTTTTGCCGAAGGGGAATTCTGCAGTTCGCTGGACAATCAGCACATCGTGGAGGGTCGCGTGGAGCAGCGCCGGATGACAAGCCCCTCGCACACCACCCGCAGTCCAAGCCGAAGCCCGGCTGGCACCGTGCCGGTTTTCCCACAGCTGGGGGCAACTTGTCATCCGAATTCAGCACAGAGAAGGGCAGCGGAGGCGAGCAGGGGCCAGTCTGAGGAAGGCCCCACCGCCTCAGTCCTCCTTCCCTTCTGTCTGCTGCTCGCCCCAGATGTGCCACGGCCAGAGGGGGCACATCCCTCCAGCTGCCACAGGCCTTTTCCTTGTGTCTTGTTGGCTGCTCAACAGCCAACACATTGAATAAAGGCTTTACCGGGACACCGTTTTCTAATTTCCATTTTTAAGCATCTGCCACTTCCCCATTCCCTCCCCCCCCCTTGCAGCCTCGCCTGTGCTCTAGATCCATGTGCTGCTGCTGCTGCGTGCCTCTTGAGCTACCCCCAAAGTTCTCTGCATAGCTGAGAAAGATGCCACATTCATGCTGGCCCCACCAGCAGCTCCTCACTTGGCTACCGTGGCTGGAAGTCAGGTTGTTTGGCCAGGCCAGAACAGTGGTGGGGGCGGCCTCTCCACAGGCCAGCCGGCACTCCAGTGCCGCGAAGGCACCAGGCATGCGGAGAGAGGACCAGCCACTCCAGGAATTCACGAACGACCTGCACCTCGCGTGAGCGCCTGGCAAACCAATCATGGGTGAACTGTGGGGAAAGCAACAACTCATCCTCTGGGTTGCAATTACCTGTGAACCAGGCGCACTCTACCCTTATTCAGGATTCTCCTCCCTTCCAGAGTTCCTTCCCCTCGAATTGAGCCATGAAATAAAAATATGCTTTCATGCCAATCCTTGTTCTTGACTTTCCCCAGAACAACCCTTGAGTTCTATGGAGCTTTTCATTTTACTGTTGGAACTGGTTTCTTTGAAAGCTCTATTAACTCTGGACACGCTATCCTTTAAGTTCTCTCTCACTTGTGTTACTGCTTCCTCTTGCTGCCAACGGCAAGGGCATCCTCTTCTCCTCTTTTTAGAATCAGATCCTGAAAGCTGCATTTAAGTATTAAGATGCTCATTCTAATCCCTTGCTCTTTTTGCCACCGCAGGAGCACCACTTGGACTCTGCTTACAGTCTAGGCTGCGCCTTCTCCCCTGAATCTTTCTGTGAATGAGCTACGCTGGAGACAACGGAAAAGAACGTGCAGCATGGCATTACCTACTTGCAGATAACTACACAGTAAATGAAAATATTCTCAGTCTTTCAGAGGACCAAAGGAAGACGTTCTCCAACAGGAAACTGAGCCAGAAAGACATGAGCCAAATTCACAGCAAAGTGGTTCCTCTAATGCACACTGCTACACACCAGAAGTCAGGTCCACACCTTTATCTGCATTAATTCTCTCTGATGGTGATGCTTAACATTTATACATTTTATTTAAGGTAGGAGAATTGAGCACTTCTCACAGAAACCTTAAGAAGACAGTTCTCAGCCTTGCTTGCAGAAGAGGACCATAGACCCACAGAAAAATGGGGTTGGAAGGGACCAGGAAGGCCATCCGGTCCAACCCCCCACTGGTGCAGGACACCAGCGCACACCAGCCCGCTTGGAGGGCCATCCAGTTTCGGCTCGAAGGTCTCTGGCGTGAGGCCAGCGCTGTGCAATCATTAAGAGGGGCTGGTCAGGGCTTGGGTGAGCCAGGACTAGTTGCCCCACTGGTGACTTCCGGCCAGTTACGTACTGCCCTCGGCCAAGCCCACCTCGCACGGTGGCTACCGCAAGGATAACTGGGAGAGCAGGACAACGCTGCGGGCCACCCTGGGCTCCGTGCAAGAGGGAGAAAGGCAGCGCATGCATGCACCACAATAGCATGCCAGCAGCGATGAGGCTACGGTGAGGGACACTAGCCTGTGGCCACAGGGAAACAAGGGCCGGGGACCTCCTGGTGCAGAGCCAGTAAGCCAGCCCTCCCACCACAGAAACGCCACTCAGCACGGAAAGGCCCGCCTCTCCTGGCTGCTGGAGCTGCCGCCTCTGCCGTGGAGCTGCCTGAGAACGGGGAGGACGCTCAGGCCCCAGGCGGGAAGCAGCACGTGGCGGCTGGCCTGGACAAGCAGCCAAACACTGCGGAACGTGCTCCTCATGACGAGTGCATCGGAATCCGGTTTCCCTGCTGTGTCTCCCAGTGAACGGCTCCACTGTCCAACCTGCAGGACAGTGCCTTGCACGAATGGCCTGGGGCACAGCAGAATGAAGAGGGCTTGAACGGCAAGGTGCGGGAGGAGACACACTTTGGACTGAGTCCTCCAGCCCACATGACTTTGTACACACTTTGTGACGTGCAAATATGTCTCCGTGCCAGAAAATAACATGTGCCACAACGCCAAATTACATCACAATCACAAGGGCTCCCATAAAAATTGACATTCCACAGAAAATGAGCAGCCTTCCCAGATACAATTCCTTTGCTTTTGCTGGAGAGAGAGAGGGCTCTTTCTGAAAGGCGCAGAAGTGCTTTCAAGCGGCACATCTGGGCATGAAAGCGATGCATGCACTCCAACAGCACTGCCCATGCAATCCGACATATGCTTCCTGAGAAGTAGGTCCCACTAAGCTCAGCAGAGCTGTGCATCTGTTTCTATGTCTTTGCAACTACTCACCAAAACAGCACTAAGATTGCAATCTGCGCATGTTTAGACAGAAGACAAGCCCTAGGACTCCTAGCATCCTGGCTAGAACTACTGGAAGGCGGCAGCCAAAACATCTGGAAGGCTCCAAGTTACTCATCCCAGCTGTACACACGGGTGCTAAGCCTCCTTGTGCCTAACAGGGGAAGATGCACACGACTGCACGGCTGGCATTTTAAGGGTGCGCTGCAGATGAATGGACTGGCAGACAGTGCACTGAGCAGAGGGGATGGAATATCGGGGCGCAATCCAGTCCAGCATGTTCGGATGCAATCACATTCTGACGCAAGGCGGGCCTACAACTCCCATGCTTCAGCCACACGGGGCTTTTTTCTGTCTAAACATGTCCCCTACGTCTCTTAACCCAGTGGGCAAAACACGGTGATATTCCGGGACCCAACACACAGCGCAAGGCATCATTCTGGAAAATGGGGCCATTCTGATCGTCTGTTTGGGACAACACAATGCAAGCGTGAAGCGAAATAAACGCTGGCCCAAAGAAGCCCTGCTGGTGCTTGACACAGTCCGCGAATTAAGCATTTAACCAAGTTCTTCCCCACCAAGGACCTGCAGGGGAACCTGAGCGAGGCCAGAACGTGGACACTCACCTCTGGCTGACAGCTTCTTGGTATTGATGATCTTTGCAGCATACTCTTGCGATGAAGACTTCTTCACACACCTGCGGACCACTGAAAAAGCTCCCCTGGAAGAAAAAGAAAAAGGCTGAGCCTGTGAAACTGTTAGGAAGGAAGCCAGCATGACGATGAGGATGCTGCATTACCGAGGCGGACGAATGTGCGGACGGACCTCCACAATCACATCAAATGGAAATAAACCCCCGGAAATAAAACACAGCCGCGGCCTCCGCGGTTCTTTCTCGCCTGCCTCCCTTTCCGACTGCGAGCCAGAGGGCAACACGGTCCGGAGCGAGCGAGCGAGCCGCGCTGGAGCAGCAGCTCAGCGCCTGCGGGGAGGGAGACGGGCTGCAGCAGCGCCCGGAGCCTGGGCGGCAGGCGGCGCGGCGGCGGCGGGGCCTGGGTGCCGCCCGGCGGGCCAACGTCTCCGCCGACGGCGCTCCGCCCGAGAAGCGCCTCTGCGCCCGCGGCTGCGGCG